AGAGAGAGAGAGAGAGAGAGAGAGAGAGAGAGAGAGAGAGAGAGAGAGAGAGAGAGAGAAGGGGTGGATTCGTTCCTGGGCCGAATTCTATGCACGATTTATGCCCCCTTTGTGCGAGGCCACGCGCATCGCCGACAGCCCCGATGCATAATTTCTGAAAGCGCGTAGAATTTCGCGTATGCCGACCGATACTCGACAACGCGCGGGCCAAACGTGGCGCGAAAATCCGAAACGACTGATTACACTTGGCGACGGCCGCCGCTAATTTCGTTTAATTACCGCGTATCGATCCGTGCGGTGATCCGGTGTGTCGTGTAACTTCGTAGTTAATTTTGTGAATCTAATGTATTATTAGGTGCGCGAATAAGTTCTCTCGATCGAGTAATACGAGTTTGCATTCGATCTAAGTATTTCGATATAGGCCATCGACCAAGATTCGTTCCAAATAGAGTTTCAACCTTCAATAAGCGAAGAAAAATTCGATATTATTTTATTAGCGTATATTTTACTATCTTTCAGATGGCGCCACGAGTGATTCGAAAGTCGGTCGAAAGTTACGATAGAGAAAAAGGGGAAGGGACTTGTTCGTACACCTAATAATAATATACGCGCATATTGAAAAGGAGATAATCTCCCTGATTTATCTTGGGCGAAAATTTTGCGTCTTTCTCGAATCGGCTTTATCGAAAAAAAAAAAAAAAAGATTAAGAATTCGTTTCCAAATTTTAAACGTATTTGAAATTCGTATTGGAAAAAAGTTGCCCTTCAACCACGTCACGTTTCTCGCATCGAAGAATATAGTGGAAATTTTATCAGATTCGTTAAGATGGTTTTATTAAATTTTCGAATCATTTTCGAAGAATATAAATATTTTTCCCCCACTTTTTTATAAACGAAACATAGACACGTAGTTTTATCATGCAAAATGTTCAACATTCGAAACAATAAATTTTCATCGATGAAATAAACGTCGTTTTCGAAACAAGCCAACGAAAAAGCATCGAAATTACAAACGTAAATTATTAAACGACGAATTCTCGAGTCGATTAACGTTCCATTAGAACGAGCATCTCCTCCCCCTCTCTCTTGCAATCGTCATTCTTCTTTTCCTCTCCAAGATCGAGAGAGATTCTTAAACTCGATCTCAGTGAAACATATACAAAAAACGGAAATCTCTCCTCTCTTCCCAGACATATATTTCAAATATCCTTGATGAAAAGGAAGGAAAGAAGGTAAGACGCAGCTGTTCCTACGAGGAAACATCCCCCGGAAATCGACAAGAGCACATCGAGTGGTGGCAACAACATTTTGCCAACCGGCAGGTGGATGGAATGGTGGGCTGTGCTGCCTCCTCCTCCCCAAGATACAGAAACGTACTACGTGTGTTTAGGGAACAAACGGAGCTAGCAGAAGGTTAATAAAGGACGAGCAACAAGAAGAATAAACGGAAAAATAATGGAGGAAAGAGAAAATCCAAAAGGAAACCGAAGATGAAAGATTTAAAGAAAAGAGAGAAGAAATAAACGGATATGGAGTTGACTCTGATCCGGATCTGGTTACCGTATCTCTGGGGCTACAACGAAAACCAATCCGCCGAATAAAATTGAATCTCGTCGATGTATTTAAAATGAAAGAAAGAAGAAGAAGAGATCAAGAGGATCGACCATAGGAAAGGGGATGGCGGAGAGGAGAATAAGCGAGACTTCTGGTCGTCCACTTCTTCTTCTTCTTCTTCTTACCAGGAATTTGCTTTCTTCTTAGGCCCCTATCTGGCGGAGGAGGGTCCTGCTGCAGAAATCCGAAATCGGTTTGGAGACCACTCGAAAATAATCGAATCTCGCGTCGGCTCCTCGAGTGCTGTGTATTCTGCGCCCCTCTCAATGGGCGGCGGCGGTCTTACGGCAAATATATATATCCTCCGAAGCGATGAATCAAAACGGGTAGGGGAAATTTAAACGGTGCTATTGTTCCATCCCCCTGTCTTCAACGAAACGTTTCCCTCGATTTCACGAAAGGAAGATTTGAAAAAAAAAAAAAAAAGAAGGGGCGATAAATCGATATTATTATCTACGTCGGTTGCGTTCCTGCTTGTCTTTGATTATGACGTTTGTACGTCGAAGAATAAGAATAAAGAAGATATTGAATATACGATTAATAATTCGATGTATCATCGAATTTCATTAACTTATTAAAATTTATTAATTTAAATTTATTTCTAAATTTATATTTCTAATTTTATTTCTATAAAAAAAGCATGTTATAAATTTAGCTCCCTTTGTTTTCGAGATTATTAAAGTTTTAAATAATTTTAATCGATACAAATTTAAATTCTACTACTTTTTTGTATTTAAATAATTTCATTCGGATTACTTGTATTATTAAATTTTTTCAAAATTATTAATCAAAAATTATTTTAAAATTTTAAATTTTAATCTTTTCAATGTAAAAGAGATATTTTTATTAAATTAAAATTTTTATTCTAAAAACACTTTCCAGTATTTTTACTATGTTACTATGTTACTTCACTTTTTAGAATTATCTTCAATTTAAAATATTACTTCAATTTACCTTTAAATCCTCTTTCAAATTTATATTAATATTAAAATTATTCAAACGATTGTATTAATATATATCGAAAGAAAGATTTCAATTAGATTTGAAAAACTGTTGAAAATTAAAGAGGGGCAGCATTATAATATAATAACGAAGATATTAAATATACAAAAACGATTAATCGTCGAATTTCATTAATTTCAAAACGATTGCGTTAATACGATATCCCATATATATATATATATATTGAAAGAAAGATTTGAGAACCTGTTGAGAACGAAGAGAGGAGCAGCAAGTCTTATTGTCGGTTGCGCTATTCCTTTGATCACAACGTTTATATATCGAATAACGAGGATATTAAATATACGGAAACACGGTTAATGCCGGTGGTAACGGATGTATCATCGAATTTCATTAACTAAAACGATTGCATTGATACGATATATATATATATTTCGTAATATTTTATCGCGTTACAAAATTATTGAATTCCATCGGGTCGGGATTCAGGAGCAGGTAGTGTAATTTTCGGTGCAAATATACGGATGTAAATTAATCTTTTATTAACAAAGCCACGCTCTCCGGTAAATCGAAATATTCTTCGTAATTTCATCGGGACAAATTAACGTTAAATTTATCCGCCGATGAAGCGTTATGATACAACACGCGATCGGATATATAATTCGAACGAATTAAAGATCGATATCCCAATTACCTTTCCGTTCACGAAACGAAACGGAAGAATAACTCGATGTTATTTTTATTATTATTATTATCGCGTAAGAATCATCCTAAGAATTGCTCAACGTTTATCGTTTATATCGTTGGTATTTCAATATCTCCTTACATATGATTCATCGATCGAAATTCGTTCCAGATAAATAGAGTTTCAACCTGTTATTTTATTATCGCGTAATAAATTTGTAAGAATTTCCTAGAATCGTCCAACGATATATCCGTTTGTATGTATATCGATCGAGTAATAGGAGTTTGCATTCGATCTATTTCGAAATAGGCCACCAATCGAAATTCATTCCAGATAAATGGAGTTTTAATCTCCAATAGGCGAAAAAAAATTCGATATTATTTTATTATTATGGTATAATAAATTTGTATGAATCCTAGAATCGTCCAACGAATAATAAAAGTTTGCATTCGAAGTATTTCGATGTAGACTATCGACCAAAAATTCGTCCCAGATAAATGGAGTTTTAATCTCCAAAGAAAAATTATTGATAATGATAATTCCATATTATTTTATTATTATTATCGCGTAATAAATCATTTGTAAGAATCGTAGGATCATCCAACGTCGCGATATATCGATCGAATAATAGGAGTCTGCTTCGAACTATTTCGATATAATATAAACTATCGACCAAAATTCGTTAACCTCCAATAGGCGACGAAAAATTCGATATTATTTTATCATCATTATCGCGTAATAATTTGTAAGAATCATTCTAGAATCGTCCTACGTCGCGATATATGGATCGAATAACAGGAATTTGTATTTCGATACGACCGAAATTCGTTCCAAATAGAGTTTTAACCTCGTTAATTGCGTTTCCATTCGTCAAACGACATATAACGCACTCTCGACGAAAAATGATAATTTTCCCGAAATGAAACGAAATAAAATTATTTCGAGGCGATTATCGAAATTTCGATTTCCCGGATAGAAGAACTTGGAAATAATATAAATATAACAGGAGAAATACGTACGTGATACAGCGTTGCTGGAATTGAATTAGGATTTGTCAGCGCACGCAATTCGAGAGAGAATTCGTCTCGAAAGGGGTCATTTCAACATTAATCGCGCTCACTTCCAACAACTTAATTCCAGACCTTCGTAAATCTTGGTTAAGGTTTGTTTGCTCGGTGGGCGGGATTCAACCGAGATACAACACACCTCCTCCTCCTCCTCTTCCTCGCCGCCACGAAAACAGCCAGCTCCTCTTCTCGACTTTGCGCCTGTCCTTTAAAACTGCGCGAGCCAAGACCGAGCGCATTCCAAATCGATCGTTCGCTCCTTCGCTCTGGTAAATCGATTCCTCCTCCCCTTCTTTCCCCGTTATAATCCCTCCTCCTCCTTCTTTCTCCGCGTTTTTTAATTAAAAATCAAGCGACGCGGTCTCTTTGAGCGTCCCAAGGATTAATTTTTTCCACTTTGATCGAATCACTACACTTTGCAGATTTTTATTATTATACGAGAGAGATTACGCGAGAGAAGAGACGAGGTATTTATCGGGCGGATTAACAGCAATCGGATCGATATCGACGGATATAAAATGATTTTGATACACGTTTCCTAATAAAGGGATAAAAGAGGGATCTATTCACGGATCGATACCGCGGCACAAAATTATTGGCAAGTATATTTTTTAGCGTCACAGCTTATATTTAGAAGAATTGTGATTTTTTTTCCTGTTTACTTTTCCATATATTTTTTATATATATCGTTTGTACTTGTACTTTCTTTTCTTAATTTTTCACGTACGTACATATTTTTAATAATAATAATTTGCGACAAATATTGCTCTCCAAAAAATTGAATTTCCATTGATGTATAAGCTTTATCTTTCGAAACGGTTGAGAAAATTATCCTCTCGCGTGTTTTTAAAATCAACCTAATAAACTCACTCGGATCGTCATAAATCGTTGAAGTTGAACAAGTTTTTTTTTTTTTTCTAATTCAATCCCGATAAACACCACTCCGATTATAATTATAGTTACGTACACCTTTTCATAAATATTTACCGCGATCTAATTGCCGCGAATTTACCTTCCAATCCCCCCACCAAACAAGCGCGATAATTACCAATCGGCGCATCGAAACGGCCGACCAACCAAATTTGCCGATTCTCGACGTGTGCCGCTAACTGGGTCGAACAAACAAGCGAATAATTAAGTACCGCGGGAAACTCATCAACAATTCAATTAGCTTTTCGTCGAGGAGCGAAACGACGGCGGCAGAGAGAAGACGGAACTGCGCCAACGCTGCGCCACTACTCCCCCCTGGCGGAGAGAATAGCAAATTATTTTCGAGAGAAAGAAAACTCGCGCTTCCACGCAAGCGTAACAGCAGAGGAGAAGATTTTTAGAAAAGAAGTCACAACATTCAACGACAAGTTGGTGGACGCGATTCGTTTAACCTTTTCGCTCTGTGCACAAAATGCCACTGAAATTACGAGCAATTATAGTCGGTTTGCATAAGACGCCGCGTATCGTACGATACGACGAGCGATCAGAGTTATTGCTCGTCTTTCTCTGGCAACGTGGCATCGATATTTTCTTTCTTCTTTTTGCAATAAACACCGTCAAAGCAGCTCGAATTGTGAAGCGTAAACACGGCCGTTCGACGATCTTTCTCGTGCACGTTTTTGGCGCGGAGAAGTCGCCCGTTAAGAAGGGCTTAACTTTTTCCACCGTCTTCTCTCTTCGTCCCTCCACCGATTCTTCCCTCCTCCTCGCCCCTTCGTCGTCCAACCATCGTGTTCCATCGTTATCGCGTAAAACTCCTTGCCCTGCTTTGCGTTATTATTATCCAGGCAACGGCACGAATCCTTTCCTTCTTTTCTCTCGCTCCCTCGGTGTCCGGTGAAAAGAAGAGGGAGGGGGGAGGGGGGATAAAGAGAATTTTGCGAAAAAGGGACAACGGCGGAAATTTGCGTCGTTTCGCGAGTAATAAGCTTAAGAAAGTTTTTGCTTTTATCGTTCTGGAGGGGGAGGGGGAAATTGGTCCTCCGCGCGGTTTTTTTTCTTTTTGCAAGAAACAAGCGCAATTCGAACGAAAAAAAAATATATATATATGCGAGTGTGAACGAAAAGAAAATAGAAATAATTCTTTAAAAGTATTCATGTTTATACTGTATATGTATTTCTTATACGACTGTTTATTATATAAGCTTTCCGACTTTTTTAACTTTGTTATTTATTACATATATAAAATGTGTTAATGTTTATTAACCTCGAACGAATCGAGCTTCCTATTGAATCTCCGCGATAAAATAACGAAAATAACGAAAAGAAACGATTTTGGAGGGAAATGGAACGATGGCGCTTCTACAGCGATATACGCAACGAGTAAAACAAAGGGACTCGGACGTTTCATTAAAAAACGTCAAATAAACGGAAGAATGTCTTGCAAAGTGTATCAAAGTGCACAGTTTCAAAGCGAATCTCTCTCTCTCTCTCTGAAATTTATTAGAGTTCGAGATAGATCCTCTTCCTTAAAACAGAGAAAGAGAAAGTCTTTGGAAAATGGGGTAAATCAAAGCGAATAGCTTTGATCGAGAAAGGAATGGGGAGAATGGAATTCCGATAGAACGAATTCATCCATCTCTTAGAAGTTATCATCAATCGGCGAGACAAATATGGAGAGAATCGCCGAGGATAAGTTTCCATTTTTGTTATCACGAAGAGGATTCGCAAAGGAGGAGAGAAAGAGAGAAAGGAGCAAAGAGTTATGTAGGGCGGAAAGCTCAAACGAACGTGAAAGGAGATCCAAAGAGGTACGAAGAATGACTACGGGGAGGACTTTGTATAAAGCTCGTTTGTAGTGGACGAGAGCAGCCAGAACGTTCAAAGAGATTTTCGTCCTCTTCTTTTGAATATCACCCTTAAATTCTCTCTCTCTCTCTCTCTCTCTCTGTCCGTGGTTGCTCGCTTATTCGATCGTGACTCGATACATGTTAAACGAACGATCGATCGGCGTGTCAACGATTCGATGGTTAAATCGGTTAAATCTCTCACCTGATGTCCGCCAACTAGCGATGGGATCGAGCGTATCGCGAGTTCATGGATCAGAGATTTTTTTTGTATAACGGAATAATGGATCATCTTCGCGTATTTCTTTCTTCGTTTCTGAGGTTTGAAAAAAAAAAAAAGAAAAAGATTCGAGGCAGATTTAGAAAGTTAGATAATTAGATCTAATTCTAACGTTCTGAACGTTATTTCTTCTTGCTGTTTCGTATTTCCGAGGATTCGACGAAATTTTCTTTTCTTCTCTTCAAGAATCTTTCGTTCGTTCGAAATTTCTCGAATACTCGCGTCGAGCTCGATCCCATCGCTACACACCGAAGCGGGAAAACGGTTCAATCGACAAAATGGATTGTCGATAGCGTAATGCGGCTTCGACAAGCTTTGTGGATGTAACGCAATTATTTTACGCCGGTACAGAAGTCCCCTCGTTAAATCCTCCCCCCCCCCTCTCCCCCCACGAATCTATGTTAATGATCGTGTTTCTGCGTTATTGAACGATGTCGAAGTCATCGCTCGAGTGGCGTGCTGCTATCGACAGCACGCGTCAACTCTTCGCGCGATCTATGAATCTTTGAACGAAATTTCAATGAGGCAAACGTTTCTCTGACATCGTCGTTTATCGCCGATACACGGCGCGCGCACGCACACAGAGAGAATACAAATTTCGTTTAATCGGTTCATCGATAAAAGCTGCTCTCGTTTGTTATACACGAGATAGATATACACTCTCGGCGAATCGATTCGAGGCAATTTTTCTCCTTTTTTTTTTTTTAACTCGTCGTAGAATACGTTCTTGTTTTAACGAATAAATTTCTAACGAGAAAAGTAACTTCGTTTCTACTCGAAGAAAGAAAAGAAGAATTCGTTCTTTACTACTTTTAATTTCTCTTCTCTTTCGTTCGCTTCTACTGGAATCGGTGGAAGAAATAAATATATCCTTTCTTCATAACAGGGACGATGACTGTTCGTTTCCGAGAAAATTGTGTACAATTCTTTTCTCTGTCGCAGGAGTGCAAGCACCTCCGAGGAACGATTCGGTACGTTTGGAGCCAGGACCTCTAAGCGGCGCTGGAGCGCTATACGTCGCTGCGACATGTGCGTGCGCCTTGATACTAGTGGTGGGGAGCGTGGCAAGCGCACTCTACATTCGCAACAGCAAGGCTCGAATACAAGAATCGCAGTAAGTGTAACGGAATTTCGTAAAAACCAATGTCTTTCTCTCTACTTTAACTAAAAGTTTACTTTCTTCTTATTCGCGTTCGACGACGCGTCCAATTGTTTCGTTTCGAACGAAAATTGTTCCACGTTCGAAAATTGAAATTGTAAACGGACGAAAACCAATTTATTACCGAAATATATATAGGAACGAGGAGCGAGTGTAAACACAACGCATCGTCGATGAATAAAATCATCCCTGGGGGGAAGGTAAATTACCGTGAATCGGAACGGAGATGGAACAAATATATCGGATTTCGTTTCGATAACGAACCTTTAAAAATGCAAATTTCAACCGTTAAGCCGTAAAAATCGTAATAAATTCGTCATCCCGCGCGTTCGATTTTTCCATTTTTCCCCTCCATCCCCTCTCTCCACCTCCACCGATTATCGTAATTTCAGGGGCGAATCCCTGAAAAAAAAAAAAAAAGAAAAAACGATGCGATTAGAGAGCGCAGCCAATATATGCTCGTCTCGCATATCTCAAGAGTTTCCCAAGGGTTCCTCGGCGAGCGAAAAGTCTCTTTTGCTTTCGGTCGGTGGAACGGACGAAGGAGAAACGGAGAGAGAAAGATTTCTACACTCTCCCCCCCGGGAAATTCATGGGATAAGAACTCGGATAGGAACTCGTCCGCATGAAATATCCTTTCAATAAGCTCGGGTGATCCGTCTGCCACCACGTTTTATTGCGCCACCTACCTTCTTCCCCTCGAATTTTCCCAAGAAAGAGGATGCTTCGGTCTTGCCTCCTTGCCTTCGAGAAATTAACTAACTGCACGGTTGCGGTCAATCGAGGCGCGCGCGCGCATCTCGATTAACCCTTTAACTCCAGGCGTGGTTTATAAACCGCATACTAAAATTATAGGCGGGTGTGGTATATAAACATGTTAATTTTTGCTAATATCAAATAGCTGTGTATAGGGTGTAGCTTATATAATATCATTATTATTAGAATATATATATATACTTGTATTATTTTTAGCTTCATTTTCACCGCTATTCGAGTCTTTTTCAAAGTACATCTTCCTAATATGGATAAGCCTTCCATTTCTTCCAGATCCTCGAGAAAGAGGCGCGTTGGACGAACATAATGATGAAGTTTTGGTATAAATTTTATGATTTTTAATTAGTATTACGATTCGTATACGATTTTTTCGCATTTAGAGTGATCGGCCGTGCTAAAAGTATCTGAAATTAAAGAGATAGTCGATCAACAATCCAACGGCTGTGTGTTCTGGCACAAATGTTAAATTCAGAATCAACTTCGTTCGTTCGTCGAGACGAAGAAAGTCGTCGAGATAGAAACGTTAAAAATTTTTTAATGCACTTCGGGGCGTGATATCTCTCCAACGTGAATACTTTTATTGGAGGGGGGGGAATTTTTTACGAAAGAAAGTGGCCTTCCCCCTCCTCTTCGATTGTCTCTCGAGGGACGTATATTAGCTCTTTTGAGGGTCTCTCCGCCCTGATAAACGCGCGGGAAAACCGGAGGCTTTACGATCTATCTTCTTCTCCTTCCAGGATGGGAGGGGAGGAGAGATTTTACATCCGTTCGCTCGAGTAAACACGGCGCTTCGCTCCCCACCCTCCCCTCGTCTCGATCTCGACGCACAAAGGACGATTGGACGGGGACAGGATGCTCTTTGCGGCTGAAGAAATGCTCCGCCCTTTCTTCTTCTTACGAATTTTATTCGCGCGAAGAGAAAAATTTTTCGACTATTTCTCTCTCTCTCTCTCTCTCTCTTCTTTCCTTTTGTCGAATGATAAATCGATGAATATATCGTTGTTGGCACGGGATAAGAAATTTGGACGATGGAGTCTATATTATTATCCTACGAAAATATAGTTCTTTTTCTTTTCTCTTCCCCCATCGAGCTTTTATAACCCATTTCGCGATGTATAAATTATTAAGCCATACCCTTGGAGGAAGATTGCGCCAAGAAGGAGGAAGAAGATTCGAAGAGGCGAAGTTTCGAGAAACTTTTACTCGCCTCGTGTACTCTCGCCTCTCGACTGCTCTCCTCCTTTTTTTCTCTTTTTCTTCTTCTTCTTCTTCTTCTAAGGACTCGTTGTACTTACTTCGAATAAATTAATTCCTCTCCTCTTGGAGACTGTTGGAATTGTGATTTTTACGCGAGATTTAAATAGAAAAATATATACGCACGTAATTTAAGCAAAGCGGATTTACACGCCAACCCCGTTCCAACTTGGTTTTAATTTTTCTTTTTCTGTCTTCTTTCTTCGAAGGGATATTCCGAGAGAGGGAAACTTTGCGAAATTTCGAGCGTCTCGTCTTCCTTTCGTCGCTTTATAATTAATACTAATTTGCATAGTAACAAGTCCGCAACGATTCGCAAGTGCGCGCGTTAAAATTAGATCCGAAGAAAATGAAATAAGTTTCATTGTCTGGAAATATAGCCGGCGTGTGTGCGATGAATTCGTAACCCTTATCCAAACTCTCTGATTAACACGCCCTTTGCACTCGTGTTTTTTTATATTTAAGAAGGTTATTTTTTTTTTTGAAAAATATATATATATCTTTTATTATCTTTATTATCTTTTGTTTGTTTGTTTTGTTTTATACACACACATTTAAGCAGAAAGAAAACATTGTAAAAAGAATCCTCAGAAATGTAATGATGCAATGCAAATATGTAAATATTTGTAATAATAAAATGTAAGATAGCGAGTGCAGAGGGTGGAGAGATGTATTAACGGGAAGGAAAAAAGGAAAGGACGATATCGACGATTAGATATCTTCGATTACACGATCCGTCGCGCGACGAAATGTTATAGAAAAATGAGGAGAAGGTGGAAATGTTGGCGACCTTTCATCTTGGCGCGCCCTTTGTGCGCCCGCCGCCGTTCCAATTCCCCTCAAAGTGGACCAATTGTCTCTCCTCTCTCGCTACCGTTATTAAATCTTTTGAAGTTTCCTTCTCCTCCTCGAGGAATTTTTCCCAAGATGGAAATAGTTTTAGATCCAGACGACGAATATTAATTCCAAGTGCCATTAACCGTGATAAACGCCCATGTTTTTCCGTTTGTTGCGTTTAAAACGGAACACGGCTCGAATTTTTCTCAAAGTCACGGAGCAAATCCGTGGATTATTATTATTATAAATCTTTTGAAATTTCTTCAAGCGGAATTTTTAAATATCGAAACGACGAATATTAATCCAGTTAAGAGCCATTAACTGTGGCGACAATAAACGTCCATGTCTTTTTGTTGTTTTTATTTAAAACGTGCTGTAAAGTAAACCGAATCGCAGATTATTAAATATCTTGAAATCTTTTGAAATTTCTTCTCGCGAAATATTTCTATTTATTTATTCTCAAAACTTTCGTGTTCCAATTTCCTTGAAAGTGGGCCGACCAATTGTTTTTTCGAAGATTCTTCAAGCGGAATTTCTCTTAAAATGGAAATAATTTTAAATCTGCAACAATACGTACATCCAATTTCTCTCAAAATGAACTGTCTTGTAAAATACTACTCGTTAAATCTTTTGAAATTCCTTCTTCGTTTTCTGTAAGGCGGAAACAATTTTTTAGACCTGAACAAAAGGAATATCGATCGATAAAAAATTCTCTAGAAACACGATAGATCCATCCGTTGATACTTGATAATAAAATCATTTCCCGCAATCACGTCAATATACAATAATCGCATCGAATATACAACGATTAATAAGTAATCATCGATGTTTGAACGCTTCTGCAACGATAAACTCGACCGTTACAAACTTTCCGCGATAATTTGCCCTCCCTGTTTACCACCTCCTCTCTCCCCTCCACCCCGCGTGTGTGTTTATACGCAATTATCGCGCCCGCGCATGCGCGCCAACGCGTCAACGGTCAAACGGAACGAAGGCGAAAACTCGACAAGTAAAAAGTATACACACACGATGGGAGGACGGACGTGAAACGCTACACCACACCACTCACTCTCTCTCCCTCCTTCCTTCCTGGCGAATACGAAGAGAGAAGGGAGGGGGAAGCGTGCAATATTCGAAATGCTTCCAAGTTTTTTGCCGTAGAATCGTCGATTTACCATTGCGCACCAAAAACGGCCAATAAATCCGGCGAAATATCGGAATTACTCGCTACCTCTCTCTCCCT